CACCCCCATGACAATCTGGAGTCTGTTGGGTATCCCTCCACCCAACCCCTACCCCGTAGGTTCTGTACATCTCCATTGGTCGTAACCAGCTGATGATTCGTCAGAAAGGAACCCGAGTCTGGTATAATATGAGTAGCGGTGGCCTCATGTTTGCAACCGTAGACTCCACCGGCAGGTTGCCAGACGTGAGCAATCCCCTTTGTACTTCCTTTTTCCCACTAACATGGTGATTAGGGGACGATACTCTTGACCATCATCGATGACGACGGCGAGAGGGTTACCTTACCGTACGTCCTTTTTACTCTATCCAAACCCCCATTTCACCTATTATGAAAGGGCATGTGGCGTAACACGGGTCTCTTAATACGTCATACCATTACCACCTGTATCTTTTTACTTAAAAAAAAAATTCATGTCGAGTCTTGTTTGAAAGCCCGGATGAGCAGAACTGATCTGAAAGGCCGGGTGCAACCAGACAGGAAAGACCACGATCCTATCCCAATGGCAGTTATGACCCTGACATGTTGACAGACGTCCCTGTTCTACGTAATAAATAAATCCATGCCCGAGCCTCATGTTTTGCCAGTTAAAAGTGTCAAAAATCCTTTTTTTTGTTCATGACTGCCCCCGATTTCTTTCAATATACAAGGGATCTAGCTCGATACTTCAGAGGCCGGTTGCGGTCTTTACATAGCCCAAGCGTTCCTCATCCTGCTCCACCACCATGGTTGGAGCCGGAGGCCCAAGCATCTGTTGAAAGGGTAATTAACATGCTTGAAGAAGCATTCAAATCTTCATGTATGTCTCACTTCTAGCCGGCCGATCTTCACTAAGTTTTGGACAGATACCACTACTTGGGACGTCCGGGACTATGCTGCGGACTTGTCACCGAGACAGAGTGGAAGCAATGAGGAGTTGGAGAAGAAACTCTTGGCACGATTCCCACCGATCTACGAAACAGCCGGGTCCGATATCCCCTACCTCGATCAACCGTGCCATATAACCGACCAGCAGGGTCACATTTTACTTTGGTACTTTCCTGAAATGTTCTCAGAACAGCTTCGGGTAATTACTTTCACTTCATTACACCCTTAGACTTTCCTCACTTTACTAGACATTTATTTGGGATCACACAGGTTCTTTGAGCCCCAAAAAGAGAAGTAATGGGAGTTGGCGGGATCACCACCCCGAGAATGAAGGGGTCACTGGGATTGTAAATTTATCACCCAGCTGGTTTTCTCAAGGACATGAAGGTCCCGAGGATCCACTGCGCGCGTCAGCCGATATTCAGGAACCTGCCAATTCAACCTACCTCCAGAATGTCCTATTGGCCAATGCAATTGTTGGCGCAATCTATGCTGTCATACAACCCGATCTTTTTGAGTCCAGTTTAGCCACCTTCGAGAAGCTTGCCAATCATGCCGAGGCATTGGACAATCCTATCAATATTGCTCTTCGCGTTTGGGCCACTCCCTTCACCGGTCTTTCAGTCATCCTGAACCGAGAGACGATCAATCACCGAGATCTAAAGGGGTATAGGGAGTCTTTTGACTTGTTGCTCACCATCAGAAACTACACAGGAGGCCGGTGTCACTTAGCCGGGCTCGGGTTTAGCCTTGTTTATGACCCTGGGACGGTTGTTGCCTTGGCCGGCAATGTTTTACAACATGGTGTTTGTCCTGTGCTGGGTGACCGGGCCTGTTTAGCTCACTTTTGGCACAAAAAGGTTGGGGAAAGGCTTGGGGTGAAGAGGCCTCAGTGGTTGACCATGGCAGACTTGATATATAATTTGTCTGGTAACTAATAAATAATGAATTACAAATCCAACCCAAACTTGCTTGGCCTCAGCACCAATATGTTCAAGGAGACGGGGGGCTTGACGAACCCGATGCCGGGCTTTCTCCACCTGGGTTTCTATGTGCTGAAAACCGGTTCTTGTGATACCTCATTAGGTCAATAAGAGCAGACTGCTGTACAATTTCCTCCCAAACCGAAATCTCATTGGTGACCCACTCTTCCTCGGCCTCAGCACGCTTGATACGTTCAAGGAGACGATCCCGAGCATTCTCCAACTGGGTCTTGATGTGCTGAACTTCGGCCGGTGTCAGCGTGGAGGTGTCAGTGTCCGGGTACTTGATTGGCAAACCACCCTTTGCCATCCATCTGAACCAATTGTATGACCTTTTCAGAAGTTGGTCGACGCCCCCTGGTGGAAAGGTGATGCGAGTATTCCACCACGCAAACTCGTATGCAGGCCGGATACGGTCATCCATGAAGGCTTCCTGAGGGTGCAGTGGGTTACCCTGGAGACAGGACTTCAAAAAGGGAGGGACGATAAACTGGCAGGAAGGTGAGCTCAAAGAGAAAAAATCTGGGGCAAAGTTTTACTTTATGCCCATAGGCGCATGCCATGCCGAGAGTCGCTATAATGAAACCCTAACCAAAGGAATGAGTTTAGCCGGGCGCGGCAAAATAAAGCTCACCTGTTCGGCCGACATGTACTCCAACCAACAATTCTCGAACTCGGGGTCAATGGGGTTTTCGAGCTTC